CCCATATACCCTGCACATGTATTCATTACACGTTAACATAAACAACGCTTCCTGATACAAATTAACCCAACCAAAACGGAATGTTGTAATACCTTGGCGCCAAAATTGAAATAGAAGCCGAGGAGGGCACCCAAGGGTACACCAACAACGTAATAGCACCCAACGTTTACATAGGCGACGAACGATTGCCACCCGCATCCAACCGCCACACCTTTGCAGATCAAATCATAACAATCAATGGCTAGTTTCATTAAAATCAACAATCAATCTAAGCTTTTGAAGTTGAATTTAATTACCAGTTAAGACGGGCTGTACTCCGTTTAGGAGAAGGGTGAGGGCGAGAAGTGGGCAAAGATCAGAGACCGCTGCGGCAACCGTGGCGCCTCCGGTAAAGGCGTAGCTGATTACGTCTCGCAGTGCAAGTACAGCTACCGCACAGATTGCAGAGACGATGGTGGAGATGGCAACAACCACCACCACAGAAAATGCTGCGGCTTTTGGATTCCCGCCTCCCAGTTCGTTGCTCACTCTCACACTGCAAACAAACCACCACGTGTAGAAATTATAGATACAGCAAAATCAATACAAAATATGTTGAAAAAGGAGCTTCAAACACACCTGGCAGCAGCATTAAAGCCGACCGATATCATGTAAACGCATCCATATATTGTCATACTGCAAAATCACAGCCTGCCCATAATTAGTCAAACTCTATCCCCGATTTTGACATGAAATTTGGAGATTTTTGGCAATAATTAACGGTTAAAAATTTCAAATTTAGAGAATAGAAAGGAAGAAAATATGAGTTGAAAAGGGAAAAATACCAAATGGAAAGGGAGTCGAGAGCAAGCTCAGGGTTTTCGAGCAACCCAGCAAGCAAAACCAGAATCTGGAAGTACCAAGTTTCCAAACAGAGCATTACCGCCGACGCCGCCGACAATTTGAAGAATCCGAACAACCCAGAAAACGCCTGCACGTTGAACCCTCGCCATGTCTTCTTACAATTACTGCTTTTAAGTATGAAAACAAATTGGCCCACCACAATAATCCACCACGACAAACTCAGCACCAGCGACACCCCCAACAAGCCCAGCCCCATTTTATACGCAGCCAACCAACTGAGAAGAATGTGTACAACGAGCGTCCCCGCCGATATGAAAGCGCTCGGGAACACGATGCTCTGAGCCTGAAGAAACTTCTGGATTGGGAAATTGATGGAGTAGGCGAAGATTTGAGGAATCAGACCATACACGAACATTTCAGCTGCGGAAGCAATATCTTTGGATTCACCCAGAAAGATTAGGAGCGGCTTGCAGAAGACGTAAGGGATTGTTAACAAAACGCCCGTGAAAGTTAGCAATATTGCTGATCTCTGCAAATAAATTCCAAGCATATCGTATTTCTCTGCACCGTATGCTTGTCCGCATAGAGTCTCCACTGCACTTCCCATCCCCAACTGTTTCATATATAGTTCATAAAAATCATAACTTCTTTAGAATTATTAGGGTGAGTTCCACCACATTGGTTAATTTAGTGTAAGATCATGGGTTTACAAGTAAAGAATACAAGAATGGAAGCACAAAGCAAAGCCATAAGAGCTTCAATCAAAGTGTAGAATATCATACCACAGTGGAGATCCGTGATTCCTAACAATATTCATTATGTTAACTTGTTTGGGCAAGTTCAATCTTCTGTGAATTAAATGAACTACTTTACTATTGGATAAAAAAAAAAAAAAAGGAAAAAAGAATTGAGATGTATTTGTTGGCTTATATACTTACGATTATTCACTTAACTCCCCAAAACAAAAGTATACCATAGAGTATCTTGAAGTCTATGGAGCCATAGAAGGGACTCCACTTAATTGAGGTTCCACTACTTTCTTTGGAGTCTCAAACAGAGGATACCTTTTTGTTGGATACTTTGAAAGAACTTTGTAAGACCATGTTTTCATGCTGTAATGATGCTGAAGAAACTAAAAAATGAGAGACGGATGGCATACCATGAGACCGTAGGCGAAGACTTGGATACCATTGTTGCCAAGAGAGGAAGCTGCGAGCTCAAGGTTGCCAAGGTGGCCGGAAAAGATCTGTGTGGAGGTGGACATGGCATAGTTAATCATATACACGAAAACCGCCGGAGCAGCTAAGTACAGCAGAAGCTTAATCTCGATCCAAGTAGCTTGAGTGTAACGCTCCACCACTGGCATCTCCGTATCCGACAATATCCTCTCCAGCTCGTCACTAACTTCGTGCTTATCCGAACGCAGTGACTGAGACGACAACAATGCCGCCGCCGCCGGCTGCAGCAATGCTTGACGAACATCGTCATCAGAGACAGATTCCATCTTTACTCCCAACCTGAAAGGGGTGCCCTTGTTCTTGGTTGCGCAAGTATTTGTAGCGGCGGAGGCCCTCTGTTTTAACTTTTCTAGCCCAAGAACCAAGGTCAGCTAAGAGCTTTTCGGGTAACTGCGAGAGCTGGCCGATTGTCCGCCACTTATATTACTTTTTTACTTCGCCAAACAGATGGTTAAACTATATAAAAAATAACTCCTTAAATTTTAATATATAATTCCATTATTTTATGAATTAATTTGCCATTCTTCGGCAAGCAAATATTTTGAATTAAAAATTTGCAGTACCAACTCCTAATCAAAATTGGTGTATTCAAATTTGAAGTCCGAGTCTACCCCGCGGTAGTTTTCACGTTTTACTTTTACCCCACCGTAAAAAGCCGTTCAGCCACAGTACTGACGTGGGAATGAAAACAGTAAGTTATTTTATTCTTAGTCCTGCCCTTACCTACCACCGGGCAATTGTTGTATTCTTTTGCTAACCGCTCTAAATTTTAAATACTGCTCCAATATATTTTTATTTTCGATTAAATGGAATATTAGCTGATATATTGTTTTATTTATAAATTTAATATATTGATATATGCTGATTTGATGGGGTTTAAAAAAATTTATAATTAAGAGATAAAAGGAAATAAATATATGTTTTTTTTTATATATATCATAAGCTTTCCTTTTCATTCAACCTACCCACATCACGTTTTCCAGCACTTGAAGATACGCTGATCAGTCATCAATAGCCACAAAAAAATAATAATAATAATAATAACTACTATTAGTTAATTAATTGAAAAAATCTCCATGTTCTCGTTCCCACGTGAGAATTACTTTCATTTAGATATTAAATATTTATATTTTAGACATAATTGCATAGCGGCCACGTGGGGTCACATGGTAAAGTTGTCTTATGGGCGATCTTACTTTTAGGGGATTGAAAAACTAAAAGAGTATAATAAAAATCTATGGGGCGGGGGTTGAAGAATCTCGTCCATTCCTGCCAGCTACCACAACCTCCACCGTTCAATTCCTTACAATCATGTTATGCTTGATGGTACCACCATTTCTTTCACTCCCACTACATATTATTATAGTAACATAGTATGATATTTGTCTATTTTGAATATAAATTTTTATAACTTTTCTTTTATCCATTTTCGATGAAGATCAACTTGGAGATTTTCCATCTAGACCATAAACGAAAATAATATTGAGTTATTTTTTAAATTGTTTCATACTTCTTTCTAAATATATTATTTTCTACTTCTTTTGGCCATGGAGTAACAATTTTAATAAGAAATCCCAGCGTCCCAGCCGATATACACGCGCTGAGCCTGAAGAAACTTCTGGAATGGGAAGTTTATGGCGTAGGCGAAGTGTGAATGTTTGATTAATCCACCACACTTAAATGGTGTGAAAGTTATCTTATTTATAATCAAATAAATTACAAGGATATGGAAATAGTAATAAATGAAAATAACAATAAATGGAAAGATACCTATGATAATAAGGCAAATATTAGATATTTGCCTTATAATAAAATATCAAATATAATATATATGGTAAACTATAATTTATTACTAAATATCCTTAACACCCCACCGCAAGCTAAGCGTCGGATTTAAACGAACGTGAAGCTTGAATCTGAAAAATTCAAAGAGGTTGAGAAACACTTTTCTTGAAGATGCTAACAACCCGGTTCTTGGCCATCGAAAATTGCAGAGGAATCGCCGCTCAGCGGCAATGCTGCCTTGGCTTCGGTGAGAATATGTCTAACCCATGAAGAGGGATTGTCGCTTAGCGACGATGCTGCCTTGGCTCTGGTGAGAATATTTCTAACCCCAAGAAGTAGAAGGGGAAACCTAGAGCAAGGGACAAAGACAATGTTGAAGCCGGAAGAGTCGCCACATTGGGCGAAGGAGCCAATTTTGGCGAGAAGGGCAGTCGGAAGAGTCGCCTCATCGGGCGAAGAAGCCAATTTTGGCAGGAAGGGCGGCGGCAACTTGGTTGGCGAATAGGCCAGTGCGGCACCCAGATTCCGAAGGTAAATCTCTGCAAAAGGTTGATAGGTTTAGGTTAGGGTTTATGTGAAGGATGAAGGTTGATTGGGAAGAAAATGAGAGAGACTATATTGGCCAAGGGGAAAACCGATTGGGTTGGAAAAGGTGAGGTTGTATGTACAAAGTATGACGAAAGGTGATTTGGAGGTCAATAGGGTGGAGCCGAAGAGTAATCAATCGGCTCCGACTACGGCAGCCATGAAGACTGCCCCTGCGGCGTCAAAACCAGCAGGGGTGGTGGAGAAAGAAGATTAAAGGATTCAAAAGCCATTGAAAAGAAAGGATCGGGGTTGTTAAACCGAGAGGGCTCTGATACCATGTGAATGCTTGATTAATCCACCACACTTAAATGGTGTGAAAGTTATCTTATTTATAATCAAATAAATTACAAGGATATGGAAATAGTAATAAATGAAAATAACAATAAATGGAAAGATACCTATGATAATAAGGCAAATATTAGATATTTGCCTTATAATAAAATATCAAATATAATATATATGGTAAACTATAATTTATTACTAAATATCCTTAACACGAAGATTTGAGGGATCAGACCGTACACGAAAGCTGCAGCTGCCGAAGCAATATCCTTGGGTTCACCCACAAAGATTAAGATGGGCTTGCAAAACATATAAAAAATAGTTAAGAGTACGCCCCGTTAGTGTCAACAATAGGGCTGATCTCTGTAAGTAAATGCCAAGCATTGCGCTTCTCCGCACCATGCGCTTGCCCACATAGAGTTTCCATCGCGATTCCCATTCCCATCTGTCTCGTCAAATAAAAAACACCATTGTTTATAAATCTATGACTAAACGAGACATACAGTTGATACTATGAGACCGTATGCGAAAATTTGAATACCACTGTTGCCGAGAGGAAGCGGCGAGCTCGAGGTTGCCGAGGTGGCCGGAAAAGATCTGTGTAGACATGGAGAGGAGGTTGTTAATGACGTACACCAAAATGGCCGGAGCTGCCAAGTTGGACATAAGCTTCATCTCTGTCCAAGTAGCTCGACTGTAACGCTGGACGGCACTCAACTTGGTGTCCGATAATATCTTCTCCAGTTCGTCACTAGTTTCGTGCTCATTCGAAAATAGTGAGTGAGACGACAACAACGCCGCCGTCGCCGGCAGCAGCGGTTGATGATGATTGTCTGCAGCAGCTGATCCCATCTTCTAGCCCTCCTAAACACGATTTTTGTTTTTAAATTTCTTATTTTTGCCTACTTCCCCTCTCTTTTGGCGAGGACCGTAAAGCACCACAGGAATCACACCAAGAAGTCCATACTCTATAAAAATGTATAGCACTCATCTCTCCGCAAGTAAAGGACAACTACACTAATTGTCTAAACCTGGTTTATAAAAATTTTAAATTCATATTTTTGGTTTTTATAATTCTAAACAAGTTGATCTTACCCGGCTAAATTTCTTTTGAGAATTATTAGGAGAAATAAAAAGTAAATTTCTTTTTCATTATTAGGAGAAATAAAAAGTAGAGTCAAAATAATTTAGGATCAAAGTAGTAGACAATATCATACTATTATAGAGCTCAATGTCAAAATAAAGGGTATACTTTGTTTTAGGTCTCCAAAAAAGTAGTGTCGTGTACTCAGAAAATGAGGTCTCTGTGGTGCATTTTGTTGGAGTGGAAGATTATTGTGAAGAGTAATTACACGTTAAGATTGTGAATTTAAAAGAGTGGAACATAGATTAGGAGGAGAGCATGAACATAAATTCGTCCTACAAGTAGAGATTCGTAGTTCTTAACAAGATTGCTCAACAAACAAGATTTAAAGTGCCAGAATAACTTGCTGTCTTCGAATTGATTCGAAGATTCAGATCGATTCCTGTCATTCCAGTTGTTTGTTTAATCTTTTGGCAGCTTCTTCCACCTGCATTTTCAATTATTATTTAATTAATAATTTCCCTCCTAAATTATTTCTAAAAATGTGTATTTTAAATGCTACAGAAGAGAACAAAACAAGGGTTCATCCAAATTTTCTTACCTGTTTATTCCAATCCAATCGACATGTCGTCCATATCAAAATGGCCGTCTGCACCAAAGTCCCACCAAGCATTCCCAACCATATACCCTAAACAATGCACATAATTAGCCACTAAATTCTAGAAACTTCCAACTAATAAAATTAAGAATTGTGTACCTTAGCCCCAAATTTGAAATAGAAACCCAGGAGAGCACCCAAGGGAACTCCGACCACATAATAGCCACCGACGTTTACAAAGGCGACGAAAGCTTGCCACCCACACCCCATCGCTACGCCTTCGCAAAATCAAATAAAAACAATTGAATAAAAGCTAATTTATAAATACCAAGTTGCGAAAATTACCAGATAAGATGGGTTGGATTCCGTTGAGGACGAGGGTGAGAGCAAGAATTGGGCAGAGATCGGAGACGGCGGCGGCCACGGCAGAGCCATCTGTAAAGGCGTAGCTGATGACATTGCGACGTGCGAGGACAGCTATAGCACACATTATGGAGATGATGATGGAGATCGTAGTCACCACCGCCACAGAAAATGCAGCAGATTTCGGATGCCTGCTTCCCAGTTCGTTGCTCACTCTCACACTGCTTGCAATACAATGCATTAAATGTAGTTTTTGGTTCATTTCATTTTTGTTTCGTATTCTAAAAACTTACCTAGCTGCAACGGCTAAGCCGACGTAAATCATGAAAACCCATCCAGATACGGCCATGCTGCAAAACACCACAACACAATTAGATTTAATAGCCTACTCCAATTCTCTTGCGAAATTTTCGTTTTATAAAATTTCGTTCTCCTCTCCACCCAATGTCACAATCCACTCTTTTAGGGGCCAGCGTCTTCGCTGACACAAGGGTAAATGTCTGGCTTTGATACTATTAGTAATCTAATATATATTGTTTCTTTAAACTTTTCTTCCGAATTTTTTTTCAAGTAAAAGCATTTGTTACAAAAAGATGTGTGATCTCGAAGTTACCAGATGGAAAGGGAGTCGAGGGTGAGCTCAGGGTTGTCGAGCAATCCAGCAAGCAGAACCAGAATCTGGAAATAGCAAGTTTCCAAGCAGAGCATCACCGCCGACGCAACGGACAACTTGAAGAATCCGAGCAACCCAGAGAAAGCTTGCGTGCTGAACCCTGTCCATGTCTCTTTACACCTGTCGCTCTTAACTACGTACACAAATTGGGCGACCAGTATAATCCACCACGACAAGCTTAGCACCAACGACACCCCCAACAGCCCCATCCCAATTTTATACACAACCACCCAACTCAGCAGCGCGTGTACCAACAGCATCGTGGCCGAGATGCAAGCGCTCGGAAACACTATGTTCTGCGTGTTGAGAAACTTGAGGATGGGGAAGTTCAAGGCATAGGCGAAGATTTGCGGAATCAAACCGTACACGAAAGTTTCAGCTGCCGAAGCAATATCCTTGGGCTCACCAAGAAAGATAAGGATGGGCTTGCAGAAGATGTAAATTACCGTTAACAGAATGCCCGTTAGAGTTAGAATGATCATTGATTTCTGTAAGTAAATGCCAAGCATATGGTACTTCGCAGCACCGTTCGCTTGCCCACACAGAGTCTCCAAAGCACTGGCCATCCCTAGCTGTTTTCATACACCCCAATTTCAAATTTCTCACCACAATGAACTAAAAAGCGAGAAAAGGGGGGAAATGTAAATACGTATGTACCATGAGACCGTAGGCGAAGAGTTGAACGCCAGTGTTGCCGAGAGACGCGGCGGCGAGCTGGAGGTTTCCGAGATGGCCGGCGAACATCTGGGTGGACATGGACATGAGGTAGCTGATCATGTACACGAAAACCATGGGAGCAGCCAGGTACAACAGAAGCTTCAACTCCATCCAAGTAGCTCGACTGTAACGCTGGACGACACTCAAACCATTGTCGTCCGACAATATCCTCTCCAGTTCCTCGCTTATTTCGGCAATCACTGAGTGAGACGACGACAATGCCGCTGTGGACTGCTGTAGCTCCACCAATGGTTGTTGAACATCGTCTTGAGAAGCAAATCTCATCTTCTTCACTCCCAAACTAAAAGCATTTCTTTTCTTTCTTTAAAAGTAGTGACAATAATTTTAAATTGTAAAAGGGTATTTTTTTATTTATTTAAAAAAATTAATGAAACAATTTTTGTTTCTGAGCTTGTTGTTTGTTGAGCGAGGTATCTGTGGCTGCTGTGTGTCCAACAAGGACGCAGCGAGCAGTGGGTACCACCATACATACAAACAGTACTTTTTCCTTTTTTCCTTTGGATTTTCAACATCGCACGTTTTCTTTTAAAAAAGAAATTAATTTCATCCGTCCAATAAAGTTACATCATTGTTCATTTTTAATATAAATATTTTAAAATACACCGTTTGTCCCAACTTCTTTATATCTTCTGCCACTTATGAACCTAAGTTTGAAGGTTTTGTTTCTGAATTCCGTAAAAGATATTATCTAAGTAAAAGGTGTCATACTAAGAGAAAGAATATTATTTGTTTATAAAATTATGATCATTCACATGTGACTCGTCCAACAAATTATTTTTAAATATATTAAAAATTACATGAATTAAATTAAATTAAATTAAATACTACTTCTAAAGTACTGTGAATAATGACTTACCAAAATAATATTATTTTGATCTAAAATTTTGAAAACAAATACTTGAACCAACCAAACAAGAATTTCCACGTAAGCAATTGCATCCTTATTTCTAAATGTTAGTGTAAATGTTTGCTTAATCCACCACACCTAAATAGTGTGAAAGTTATCTTATTTATAATCTAATGAATTACAAGGATATGGAAATAGTAATAAATGGAAATAACAATAAATAGAAAGATACCTATGATAATAAGGCAAATATCTAATATTTGCCTTATAATAAAATATCAAATATAATATATATGGTAAACTATAATTTATTACTAAATATCCTTAACACCCCACCGCAAGCTAAGCGTCGGATTTAAACGAACGTGAAGCTTGAATCTGAAAAATTCAAAGAGGTTGAGAAACACTTTTCATGAAGATGCTAACAACCCAGTTCTTGGCCATCAAAAATTTGCAGAGGGATCGCCGCTCAGCGGCGATGCTGCCTTGGCTTCGGCGAGAATATGTCTAACCCATGAAGAGGGATTGTCGCTTAGCGACAATGCTGCCTTGGCTCTGGTGAGAATATTTCTAACCCCAAGAAGTAGAAGGGGAAACCTAGAGCAAGGGACAAAGACAATGTTGAAGCCGGAAGAGTCGCCACATTTGGCGAATGAGCCAATTTTGGCGAGAAGGGCAGTCGGAAGAGTCGCCTCATCGGGCGAAGAAGCCAATTTTGGCAGGAAGGGCGGCGGCAACTTGGTTGGCGAATAGGCCAGTGCAGCACCCAGATTCCGAAGGTAAATCTCTGCAAAAGGTTGATAGGTTTAGGTTAGGGTTTATGTGAAGGATGAAGGTTGATTGGGAAGAAAATGAGAGAGACTATATTGGCCAAGGGGAAAACCGATTTGGTTGGAAAAGGTGAGGTTATATGTACAGAGTATGACAAAAGGTGATTTGGAGGTCAATAGGGTGGAGCCGAAGAGTAATCAATCGGCTCCGACTACGGCAGCCATGAAGACTGCCCCTGCGGCGTCAAAACCAGCAGGGGTGGTGGAGAAGAAGATTAGAGGATTCAAAAGCCATTGAAAAGAAAGGATCGGGGTTGTTAAACCGAGAGGGCTCTGATACCATGTAAATGTTTGCTTAATCCACCACACCTAAATAGTGTGAAAGTTATCTTATTTATAATCTAATGAATTACAAGGATATGGAAATAGTAATAAATGGAAATAACAATAAATAGAAAGATACCTATGATAATAAGGCAAATATCTAATATTTGCCTTATAATAAAATATCAAATATAATATATATGGTAAACTATAATTTATTACTAAATATCCTTAACAGTTAGGAATTGAAAATCTAGATAACAGAATAAAAAAGAAAAAGAAAGAAATATATATAAATATATATATATATATTTCTTTCTTTTTTTTCTTTTTTTCTTTTTTTGAGAGAGTACCCGACCCGAAGGAATTGAATCCATGAAATTTAACCCTTCAAAGTAGTTTGCGGATTGTCTTCCCACTTGTTTAATCTTTTGACGGCTTCTTCCACCTTCAAAAGGTTATAAACAAAAATCAGATTACAATTTACTATTATACCC